GTAAATAATAATGTAAACATTTAGTTTTGACAGTTTCAGTAGACCTTTGAATACAATTTTAATATTAACAGCTGGTTAATTAAAAGTAGTGTAAAATTATCCATATGGTCGAAATGTAAACAAAATTGCAGAGTGAACTTTGAAGGCCTCTGGGGCAGAGCCCCAAGGAAATTTACATCGTTTCTCTTTTGAGGGCTCACCTACAGACCAATACCTTTCTTTAGACACCCCTACCAAGTTTCTACGCCCAGCCGTTCTCTCAAATTAGCTGTGACAAAAACCTCGTTTTCCTCCATAAGAATAACATGGGATGGGAATTTAAAGGCCACTGGGGCAGAGCCCCGAGGGAATTCTCCATGGTTCTCTTTTGATGGCTCATCTACAGACCAGGACCTTTCTTTAGACACCTCTACCGAGTTTCTACGCCCAGCCGTTCTCTCAAAATAGCTGTCACAAAGAAAAACAGTTTCAAATTAATGTATAGATAGCTATACTGTACCAATATTTGTACTTATAAACCGTGCCCGCTTTTATACGTTCAGGGCTATTCACACCTTGATACTGTCCAAGAGCGTTGCCCTTTAAGCTTTTAAAGTTCTGATGTTAGACTTTTCTACTAATGTCCGTCTATATGTTTGTATAAAGAAAATTCAAAATAATTGGAAATTTAAAATTCCCACGTGATTTTTATGGAGAGTCTAAAACAAATGTTGTATGGAGTCAACTGTCGTAGTTTGCATGTTTATGGATATATTTTGATCGAACTTGGTAAATCTATTTATTTTATACTAAGCTATTAATATTTTCTAAAACACACCTTATTACCCTCCCTGTAGCAGCAAACCTAGTCGTTAAACGAAATGTTATTGAAATGGGTTTAATTGAAAATCAAATCATGCAAATATAAATTCGCTTACTCTGCAGGTTTGCTGCGGCGGGGGTATTTTCTTTAGTTAAGATGCAGTGGTAGTTAAGGTGTATGATGGTTATTGTAGATTTGTAACTATTTCATACCGTAAATTTAAAGAACCAAATTTTCCAAAACCGTGTCCTTACCCTCTCAGTTTGCCACAAACGCAAAATCACGAGTATTACTCCATTCACCTCATTACACTTATACACTATCCCCCGTGCTATCCCCATACAATGGATGGATAATCTTATTGTTTATTATAAGTATCTGTTGTCTAATCGTCAATACTTTAGGAAATGCGTTTATGTTGAAAAACACTGAATTCTACTGTATCGATAAATTTTATTACTAGTCCAACATATTTTAACATATAAATTTGACATATAGATTTCTATACACCATGTATAGATTACTTGCCCACTAGGTGTAGACAAAATTGTAATACACGCTTCGGGATTTCAAATCATCTATAATTTTACATATCCATTAAATACACATAAAAAATATGCCAGTCTCCTAGCAAGTTTACCGGTTTTACGTCAAATCCTATCAATGTGCAGCGAACCATGTGATCGGAAAAGTTGACCAAACTCAATTAATGGGTTTATATTTTGTGAACCTGAACATTAACTTACCTGGCAGGAAGACAATATTAGTTTGCAGTTTGCCGTTGAAACTTCAGTTCACATTACTGCAGACATGAGCTAACATCGTCAAGCCTCATAGACTACAGTGGATCACAAATCTCGATTTTTTTAACCCCCATCTCAATAAAATTTCAAGTTCTACATTGTTTGTATTAATTCAATTCCAGTGGAACTTTGTAGTCCTTTTTCATGTTCCTAAATAAACAACTGCGTCAATGTTCTGAATTTGTAGAAACATACAATAATATACAACACAGTTTGACTTGAAATTGTATTAGATGCAACGCATTTTAACAATGAATACTAAATCAATTAATTCTTGTATATGATGGAATCCTCCAATATTAGCCTGAGGGGGTTACTTTTTTAGGGAAACGGAGAACTGGCCACCTCTGGCTCTAATCCGCATATAGAAGTTTGGTTAGGTTAGGTTAGGTTAGATTCGATAAACCCCCTGAATTTACGACCACCGGCCGGGGACCCCTACACTCATATTTTAAAACGAAACCTTTTGTAAAATGGGCTGTACTAATTAATCTATAACTCAAATTCAGTGTTTTGTGATTTTTAACCCTGCATAATCTGTTTAAATATTTGCAAGTTTACACATTGCATGTGTTTTACTATTTTAAGTTCATTCTAACGCTCATTGATATTTTAAAGAGTGTAAGAAAAAATAAAATTTGACCGAACCGTAGGCTGCTATCAAACCAGTTGAATACATGTAAACCAGAGTTATTGGATATAAGACCACAACAGCTATACAGTAAATTGATTAAACTTAAATAATTTAAAACTACACACTAAATAAAATGTGTGATAGAAAATACAGCTTTCCAGCAACATTATTTAAAAATTTACGGACAGTAAATAAAGAGACATCTTATAACACTATTAAAACATATATTTACGCTTATACTGTTACTCACAAGACGGTAAATATACAAAAAAGGTGGTAAGTGGTGGTCGATTTCGGTTCGACACTCTCATCATCATCAGACCCAATAGGCGAATGACGACTGTCGAAATCGATCACCACTTACCATCTTTTTTGTATATTTACAGTCTTGTGAGTAACAGTATTAGCGTAAATATATGTTTTAAGTGTTATAAGACGTCTCTTTATTTACTTTCCGTAAATTTAATAACACGTACAATGCTGATCAAAAAGTTATTTATTAAAAAAATTAGTACCATAAATTGAGATAGACCATAAATCTCAAAAAAGGAATAAAAACTACAGAAATCAACCTATCTATGCACTACTTTTATTCAAAATAATTCAATTTTAATCACGAACCTTTGTTTTATGAAGACAATAAAAAGGTGCATGGTAGGTAAAATCAGTAACACTTGTTGATATTAGGTTTAAATGAGAAACTCCAATACAAGATGTCTGCCTCTAACTGATTGTATTTAATTAAACTAAGTGGATGCTCAATCACCCGCCATCAAAGGGAGTATTATAGAATTGTAAGCTCTAACTTAATGAATGTAATTTGATCTTGTATTTTATTACACATCTATAATTAAAAACACTATAAGATATCTAACATTTCATTAGATTCTTTTTTACGAATAAGTTATACTTTTTTATTGAAAAATAATTTTACAAAGCAATTAAATTTGAAAGTTGAGTGGAAAACATAGTTGTCATAAACGAGCTGGTAAAACACTAATTCTTTCAGTAAGATATAATGTCGTTATTACAGTAACTTTTAAATTTTGATAAGAGACATTTGTACAAACAGTTCTAGTGTGTATGCTGCAATAACAAGAGAATTCAAATTTGAAGGGGTTTATTTTATAACTCAAATAATTGGGAGTAGTTATTTTGTGCACTTTATCTAGGTCGATCTTATCATTTTTGTCCATACGTAGGACAATAACAATAAAAATCTGCCACCAGAACATTAAAAAATTAATAATCTATATTCCCGTAAGATTAAGTACTTAAATGTAATATGCCAATATGTTTATGTTATTAAAGCTAGGTTAGGAACATTCTTTAAAACATAACAATTAAATTCAAGCACACAGCTGATTTCTAGCGTTGAACGTCGTTGGTGAAACCTTACTTCACTCGTGAAGTAAAGAAGTTGTTTACATCACGCTTGGGATAGAGAAGTTTAACATAGTGGGTTGGGTAAAGTAATAGATCTTGATGCTCCAGTATTATTCAATAGACACACGCTGTTAGCTGCCAAATTAAATTTTGTTCCACGTAAAACTGACCTTCCCAACTCTGTCCCGCGAGATAGCCTCCAGCTACTCAAAATTAAAAAGGGTAAATGTCGATATATTGTCCTAAAGCATCTTTCATCAAGGAAATTGACCTATTTTACTTTTATTTTTCGGCGTTAAATTAATAGTTTAAACCTTATTATTCAATAATTCAACTGGATTCGATTAAAAGAGTCTTTTGGTGTTTTAAGTGTCATTGTTTTTATTCCACTTTTGGGCGAAGCTGAGATTTTAAAAATACTTGACATAAAACCCAATTATTTTGAACAGTAATCAACACTGTTTATTATTCCTAATGTTATCGTTGATATCAATGTTGAAAATAATTTGGTAAAATCAACCAACAATCTAGCCTATTTAAACAACGCTGTTAGATGCTACCATAAACTATAGCCTATAATTAAAGAGCTTGTATTTAATGACAGGTGACTGGTTTGACCTGTACTTGAAAGTTAAAACCAATTTATCCCTGGATCGAAAATAGACGCAACTACAATGTACCTTTTAATGAACTAACCAAGCTTTAATATTTGATTTAGGTTATTGGAATTACAAAAATAATTTTTCTTCTTACATAAAATTTCCTCATGTTTTCATCGGGTTTTTTTTATAACTTCTTCGTTCATTATTTTTTACCTATGTATGAATACTTTAAGTTAAAACTAATTTTTGGACAAAGAATTATTTATAGTGAATAATCATTGACTATACACAGAATAGACTTACCAGTGTAAAACTTTGAAGCCAAAAATCGTGGTGCAATTTTGTGTATAGTCAATGGTATAATTAATTGAAATAAAGGTTACCTCAGTATGTTGAGTGTTAACAGCATTTACGAAACTAATAGATCTACATATATGGTTTAGTGTTAGGATTTTAAAATTTAAAATAAACTATAGAAATGTGAAGGAAATTAGTAAAACTGTTTAAGCTTTTAATCACTAAAACAAAACAAAAATCGTGCTAATAGCTAGTTTAGCCAATGTTTTTAATAGTCTGTAAATATTTTAATATCTGAGTTTTTCAAAACTCATTTTCTTAAGTATTAGTTCGTAATCACTGGTAAAATTAACACTTGAAACTTGATTTACTAAGAAAACATATATACACCGGAATCCAACTTATAGAACAGCATACAAAAACTTGTATGTCGTACGACTTAATTTAAAGACACCAAGTCAGGTTTAGGTACGTACCACATGGAGGTCAACGGAGAGCGCGAGTCAAGGGCACTCACACACATAACGCGGTACGACCTGTGGGGACAGAGGCGCGCGCGGTACTGTGGCTCATGTGCCGCCTCCACTCACGCCGCCCCCGGGGGTGGGTAACTCGCTAGCGCTACTGTGGCCAACACAGGAACTATCACTACCTAGTGGAGGAATTCACACTACTACGGGTGTAATGCGTGGTGTCTTATAAGCCAGTAAAATGCACGTACCAGTTGTCCGACAAGTCACTTGGTCGCATAAAATGGCAGCCAACTGGCTTGACGATCAAGTAGCTTGTCGCACAAATGTGGGCTCCCGTCACCACGTTAAGTGTTATCAACTGGGGACGGAGCTTTGCTAATGGAAAACCATTAATACGACCACATTTGTTTGATAGCATTAATCAACTGTTGTTCTATAATGTATCAGTATTATTTTTAAATAGTTACCTACAAGTGACTTGTATACTTGTAAATATAGGCAATATAGGAGACAGATTCGATCATACAGACTATAGAAAACTCACAGATTTGTAACTCATAGGATTCCGTTTGGTTAAAGAAAATTCGTATCATTTCTGAAATATTTGCAGAAAAGTCAGAATACGCATATAAAAAATGCATCCACTATTTAATACGGTTTCCATGATTAAAGTCACTTGGAAGATCTCTTTAACCAATAAAGTGATCATACACTCGGGTAAAACTGTTGAAAGCTTCTTATAGGCTACAAGTCATTACGTTGCTGTGTTTTATTCTATTTTTAGAATGCATGTACATCGCACTGTAGAATGTATTTTTAGACTTTGGTTAGAACTTGTTTACTTGAACTCATAACCACTCTAAATGCTAATCGAAGAAAAGCCGATAAGAAAGGTTCTTCAATGCATTAAGGATCATTAAACAACTGAGGGACATATTTGTAATTGCCTTACAAATGAATTATTCAACTGTATAGAAAAACACAAGTTTAGTTATAACAAAATATTTGCTCCAAAATTCATAATCCTTACGTATTTAGAAATCAAGTATTTATGTTGGAATCCCATTACTCTGTTAGACTTATATATAGTCCCAGGAGACGAGAAAGAGAACTTGAGTACAAGTGTTGTGACCCTTAGGAATACCCTCGCTGAGGGCGCGTGGGGTGGATGTTTTCCTTTTTATTTTCTTGCTTTGCCTGATAAATCGTAAAAAAAGAAAACCCAATCCCTTATCAACAAATCTGATACAGCATATTTAAAAGAAGATAAATGTTTAAGATTTTTCCAATTAAGTAGTCATTTTAAAGCTAATGATCTAGATCACCTGCGAATAGAAATTTAAAAGGTTTCCTTCAGGGCCTCGCCCCCTCACGTTTAATTTATTTCTAGACTCCATTTACAAATATCAGAAAGATCAAGTTGTGCTAAACAACATTCTTTACAATGGTTTAAATGTGAATTGTAATTTAACAGCTTTTGCTTGAGTCGGATGTATAACCAAGGTTGTCTCTAAATCTACATTTAGAGATTTGTGATAATGTATTTTAAGTAGGTTAATTTTTGTGCTGATAACTGAGGCCTGATTGAGGTAGGTAAGAATACTCCTTAAATCATCCTTTATAGTGTGAATGTAAAACACAATTTTTTTCTTAATTAGTAGTTCTATTCAACTAATAACTACTGTTCTAAGCCAACATCATCTTGAAAAGGAAAATGGATATTGCACTGGATTCAATTTGTCTCGGAGACATGTTTTGGACCCTATTAAACTACCCAATACACGCACGGGTCCCCTCGTTTAAAATAATGTTGGATATAGAAGAAGTCCTAGATGGCTTGCTTTTTTATGAACACTAGAGGTCATCCAGAGGTCGAAAGTTCGATCAAAAATATATTATGTACATACTTCTCTATTTTCACCACTAAAACATGTGATTGGATTTTCTTCCATTTTGTGTTGATTCTCTGTTATATTTGGTTGACATTTCGTCACCAGCATGGCAACCCATAAGGCCCATGGTTTTTATATTTTTAATTCATTTTTGTGCTATTTTATCCTGTTTTCAATTTATAAAGTTATTCTGCACGTATCTCCAGGCAAATATATTTCTTCTTCATTTTTTACAGTATACGTAGATTTTCCCTGTGATGCACAGGAGCTGAGAAAAAGGCTTTCAATGTCAAGCCCTGTGTTAAATTTCCATAAGCAAAGTGTAATTTCCATTTTTGGACCAATTAACATGAATATTAAAAAAAAACCTGCACATATAGGACCGATAGCCTTTCTTTTGGTACAACCCGCGTGTAATTCTGTATAGTTGTATGGTCAGGCTAGCTGTCATAAGTTTTGCAAAGGTTTTTAGCGAATTTCCCATATAGGGAATAAGCTATTACCGTAGGTCTCATGGTAAGACCTGGACCCGGGACCGATTTACTTTTTCCTTTTGAGGTCCCTAGAGGCCAAAACACCATCCGTTCAATAACGGATGGTTATGATTAATATATATATAATGTATATATATATATTATATGTGTGTCCATTAGCACGATAACTCGAACAAAAATGGTCCTATTTTGATTAAATTTGGCATAAACGTGTAAACCTGCATTTATTCTAACGAGTTCGCGAACCAGCATGATCGGACCATGGGAACGGGGGTTTATGGGGGGTTTTTTGAGGTAAAAATGGGGTTTTCCCATTTTTGACCCTAAAAACATAAAATTTTGGAATATCTTTCCAAACCATTTTGTAGAGCTTAAAAAAATAAATAATTTAGTATATTGAAGCATTGTTGTATGCCTAATGGTTACGGAGAAAACTGTTGTAGTTTACTTGTTTATGGATATATGTTGATAAAATATGGCAAATTTATCTATTTTATGCTATACTATTGACATTTGGTAAAAAAACACTTTTTACCTTCCCCGTAGCAGCAAACCTAAGCACTCATTAAATCTAATGCTATTTAAATTGGGAATAATATGTTTTATTTATGGAAATATTTTAGTAAATATGTAATCAGACAAGTGGAAATTCGCTTAGTCTGCAGGCTTGCTGCGGCGGGGGTATTTAATATATAAGACTGTCATTAGGCCTGTAAACACTTAGAATCTAGCAATGCTTGAATTAATTTTTATTTCACTGTTTTTAAGGATATTTTCTGTAGGCCTGACATTACGGACAAAAAAGTACTCTCTTATTTGTGACAAATGTTTACTCTCAGTAACCTGTGTCTAAGTATAAAAGGGGAAATAGGCATATGTTGCGATAAATTGCATAATAGTATTACTTATTTATACTTACGCAGTCTAATCATGTTAATAAAATCCCGAGTTGCCGCTGAGTAGAGGTTACCATACCCCAGAGATCTAACTTGTTTATATCGCACTGCGCTATTTATAGCACCAGCACTGCTTATGTTTTATACAGTTTGGATCCTCTAGTTCCCTTGCCAGCTTAATTATAATCAAATCAGTTATGAGATGAAAACCAAACAAAAAGTGACCTAATAAACAGTTTAATTAAGCAAATAAACAAAGAGTGCCAATCAACTTTTGAGTTCTCGTAATCATAAAGTTTTTAAATTAATATAATTTATTATGTTTTATTAAATATTCCAAAGAGCAGTATTAAATTACAAAGCAAGTCATGTTTGTTGTAATATCGTACTTTATTACTCCATACTTGATAGAAAAATTAATTGGTTATAACAAAGCAAATTATCAACCAATGCAGTGTTAGCAATGTTATGAGAATATAATATCAACATTTTAAACTGAAAATAAATTAGTTTCTTTAAATAAATGTTTTGGTCGATGAAAGTTATGAAAAATCATATCAGCTTTAAACACATAAATTAGTTGTATTTATTGACAATGTATTCTGGATGATAATGAACAATAAAGGATAATGTTTTGTGTTTAGCAAAGCCAATCAAGATTCAGATAATACCACATCGCACCTCATAGATAGTCTATTTATTGACCATGTTGCAACAATACCGTTACAACAACATACTTATAGATTAACATCCGCAATGACCCATTCCAGTTTACCTTTGAAAACATATTTGTATTCACACGCAAGCGTTTTAATCAAATAATTGTTAACAAACATAGAATGATGTGTCCATGGAAGGATGTACGTGATTGTATTTATTTATTGCATACCACTCCGTTAATAGCTTGCTATTCGATAAAAGTGTTGGAAATACACCGTGTCAAAAAAAAAGAACAATTTTAAATTATTACATAATACGTCCAGGCATACCTAGTCTATTTTGAAGGTGATCAAATGATAACTGAGCTCATAATGTTTTTTGTCATTTGTAACTATCAGTTGTAACTATCAGCTGATTCATTGTTGTCGCCTGAAACTTGAAATTTCAAAACATTGCCCTGTCATTAGCAGGCATCATGAACACACGAGAGAAAGCGCAATGCGTTGAGTGGTACATTCAAAGTAAGTCAGATATTGAAGTGCAAAGAACATTTAGAAGACGCTATGGTTGACGTCCTCCATCACGAAACATCATTCGAGCCTGTTATGACAAATTTATGTTAACTGGATGCCGTTTAGTTTCAAACACATTTAAAAGGTAATGGTAGGCCTAAAATCCAAAATGAATTGATTGAAAACGTGTAACAATTATTTCTTCACAACCCTCGAAAGTCTGTTCGCTGTGCAGCACGTGAGTTAATTCGTCAAAATCTAGCATTCTTAGAATATTAAAGAAAAATTTAAATATGAAAACTTATAAATTGCTTTGTAAGAGTATCACTCGACCACACCTTCCCCCCTTTCGATGGATTGGACGTGACGGTCCAATACGCCGGCCCCCACGGTCCCCAGACCTAACACCCTGTGATTTTTTCGTCTGGGGTTTCATCAAGTTCCAAGCTAGAACATAGAACATAGAAGTCTCTGATGTCCGAGAATTGAGGCAAAGAATAAATGCAGCCTTTACTAACATTACTGACGAAATGCGCCTGTGGGCAGAATTGGACAGCCGTATTACCTATCTTTTTGCCAACAATGGCAACCATGTTGAAAATCATTAACACATATGATATCAAACAAAACTT